TGGCAGGTGAGGGAGGGAGTGAGGTGAGCATTGGATCTAACGTGGCTTTTTTTGGAAAGTTTGTTTTGACCTGGAGAAATGAGCGTGGGTCTGTACAGAAAACCCCCACGTGGATATGTGGGGTTGTGGGGTTTTTTTTTTTGCCAATGTATGTTTTTCACTAAAATGACTTCCCAATGTCCAAAGTCTTCTGATTAATTCTTTGTTGAGGGGGGGAGAAGGTGGAAACCATTTTTTTTCTTCTTCTGCTGCTTTCTGGGCTAAATTGAGGTCACGACGAAAGATTTGGTAAACCTGGTTTCCAAGCCCTACAGACTCTTCCCGTGTAAACTAGGATGGGAAGGCAAATATCAGCAGGTGTTTCTACGTATCGAGGTTCTGCAAAGAGTTAAAGGAGAAATAGATTTTACTCCTTGTTGTTAAATGCCGCTGTCTGTCGTGGGCATCTCTTATGACTTCGGCACATCCACATATAGAGAAATATTTTGGAGTTTTAAAACATCCGGCATGGAACCCATTTCAAAAATAAATCTGCTCAGCGTAATTTTTCAGCTCGGGGAATCTGGGTTTGAACATTCACAGTCCAGGGACAAGAAAAGACAGCAGAAGGGTAACAACCACCCCAAATCAAAAATTGTGGCTTAATATAGATATTCGGTCAATGCAGAGGGGGGGGAGTATTAATACATTAACTGAAGCATAGGAGCAGATGCTGGGAGCCCTGGATTGTGGGAGCAGCATCCCTTGAGACCTTCAAGAAGAGATTGGACTGTCATTTGTCAGAAATGGTGTAGGGTCTCCCGCTTGGGTGGGGGGTTGGACTAGATGACCTATAAGGTCCCTTCCGACTCTGATTATCGATTATCTGTTATCTGGATGGTCTGTGAAACATTTGCTGATGTGGAGATTTGAACATGGTTGACCAAAAAAAAAAAAACCCTTCTGCTTCGCTCTGTGGCAGGTTGCCATCTTTCAAAAACCAGCTGTGCTCCTAAGCTGTAGCTGGGAAAGATTCGGCTATCGGCTCTTTGCCAGATCCATCCATTTTTCAACAGCCAACTTTTATTTTTTGGCACGTTCTTAACAGCACAGAAGGAGGATAAGACTGCCTTGGTCCCCCCCCCCAAAAAAACCCTCAAGAGAGTGGATTTGGTCCCGTAATCATGGACACTTTCTTGATCTTCGTGGCTTCCTCCCTGCAGAATGCAGCTAATCCTTGACTTACGACTGCAAGTGAGTCCCAAAATTTCCGTTGCTAAGCCAGGCAGTTGCTAAGTCAGTCTTGTCCCATTTTGAGGCTCCTCCTTGTCGCAGAAGTCAAGGAAATCTTTCGGTTGTTAACGTTTAGCAACGCGGTTGCTAAGCGGATCGGGCTGCCCTGTTGACAAAAAAGGGGAAGCCGCGTGACCTGGGAATCCCGCAACCATCATAAATATGAGCCTGGTTGCCCAGCCTCTGAATGTTGATTGTGTGACTGTGAGGATGCTGCAACGGTGGTTAAGTGGGAGACGCGCTCACAAACTGTCACTAAACGGATGCTTGTAAGTCGAGGGCTACCTTCTTGGAATAGAGTAGGATAAACAGAGTGGGAAGAAGGGACCTTGGAGGTCTTCTAGTCCAACCCTCTGCCTAGGCAGGAAACCCTACACCCCTTCAGACAAAATGGTTTGTCCAACATCTTTTTTTAAAAAACTCCCAGTTGTTGGAGCATTCCCAACTTCTGGAGGCAAGTTGCAATCTGTAGCAACCTGTACCTGTAGCAGCCACAATCCTATATCTCTGCGATTAATCCTCCGTTGCAGCAAAGGGGTTGATTTTCATTCAGGATCATCTCTTCAAGCAGGGTAAATAACTTTTAAAAATCACCGCAAATCAGCTTTCTCCAACGGGGATCTGTTGAATTCATTAATGTGGCGTTTCGCTGATCTACTTCACCAAGTTTGCAGGCTTGAGAGCAGGGAGGCTGGACTTGAAGGTCTCCAAGGCCCCTTTCCAAGCTCTATTCTGATCAATGGACATATAACAGAGTTGGAAGGGACCCTGGAGGTCTTCTAGTCCAACCCCCTCCTTAG